GTGTATAAGAGACAGGTCTAGAATTATTTTTTAAATATTTATTTATTTAATGTTTTTGTCCAAGGGGTTGTGGTCAGGACCCTGACCCCTCCAGATCCACCAATGATCTCCCTCCCCAATTCACTCCTAGATATCACACTTGAAATCGAGTGTACTTGTTTTTACATTTGGCACCCAATGGCTGCAGGAATGATTTTATCGTATACCATACCTTAATTAAAAAACGGCGCTTTTGTAGGGGGGGGGGGGGAAATATTAAATCGTTTGCTAAATGCAGGGTGGCAGACATTGGCAGCTAAACTTGGCATCAACGTAAAGCTTAGGCTCTGCCAGAAATGTTGATATCAAAAGCATGATGGAAATCGCCGGCAATTCTAACTTTTAAGTTGGTTTTATGAAAAAAATGTTTTTAAGCGTTTTTGGCTCATATTTAGTGTCCTTTATTCTAAAAATATACCAATAATGTCATTTTTTATTTTACTATCTAATTTAGTTAACAATATGTAAATACTGCAAGAAGTATCAAGTTGACTGCTTTTATCTAAGTAAAGTCATAGGGAGTTTTTCAAAAACTGTCAATTTTATCATTTTACGAGTAAAATACAACTTTTTCATGTTTACATGGTTATATCACACTATGAAAATTCACTAAATATGAAATTATTGGTGGATTAATATAATTTAGAATGTTCTCGACATCAAACAACATTTAAAAGTTGAAGTTGTCACATTACCTATTTTCGACTTTTGGCACACTTTGAATTGATTCTGGCCCACTGTGCGTCGGTTACCAAGGAATCCCCCAGATTATAAAGCATATGATATAATTAGAAAAAAAATATTGTAGCAATGAGTACCCATAATTGACGAAATCACAATTGTTACAATATTTTCATGTATTAAAAGAGAACTAGCAAAATGATTTTTGTTCTAGAAAGGATTTTTGATATGCCATTATTAATAGAATCAACCTTAAAATCGTTTTTTGGCTTTTTTCTTTATGAAGTTATAGGCGATTATATACGATTTTACCATGACGTCACTGGCGAAAAAGTAACAAAAGATCATGTAAATAAAGCGTGCATGCTGTAACAATCACAATTTACAGCCATGGTTACAGCATACACGCAAAGATCGTACGCGGCGGATACCCTACGCGGCGCTATTTACACGATCTGTTGTTACTTTTTCGCCAGTGACGTCATGGTAAAATCGTATATAATCG